TGGATTAACCAAGGTTGCCCATTGATGATAATCATCATCGTGTCCTTTTAGCTAGCAAACTCTTGCGAGTTGTTAACCACAATTTGTCTGCTTTGATAACCTGGGCCGCTGGTTGGCTCAGTGTCCCACCGACACACACAGAGAGAGAAGGTAGGTGGCTGTTTTAACTTTACCAGGTTAGCCCCACTGAACTATGTAGCTCTTTTTCAGAAGCGATCTGGCCACAAATGATTGCTCAACAAAGTAGCTCATCATGTAGAATTGTATCGCAGCCAAACACTCAAAAGCATTTTTATAAATGTGGAGGGAAAAACAGGACGACCCAGAAAAAAATCCACATGACCACGATGAGAGAGACACGCAAACTCCAAATATACAGGCGTCAGTGTTGGGATCGGGATCGAACCCACAACCCTGTATACCAGGCGAGGTATATAACATATCTTAGCCACTGTGAAGTCAGGGTGTGAATCGAACCCACGACCTCCTGCATAGCAGGCGAGATAGTGAACATCTTGCCACTGTGGGGCCCAGCTGACTCAGACTGTGAGCGAGGAGTTGAAGTCCAATGATAAATGTTGATATGAATCAAGGTGTGGGCAGCCATGACCAAAATCTTGATTCAAAGTAGATTTTTTGGATCAGACCGCGTATGTAAAATGTGTGTCGTACACACCCCTCCACCCGGCATAGCAAATTAATATAATTGGCATGTGAACAAACAATGTAAGTGCATTTCTGCTTCAATACACCGTTGTGTTGGAAAGTAATCTCACAACATTCCCGGTCACGACCAACACCACTGACATTCATCTGAATGGGTCTCTGGGCATCCTCTAGGTCGACTCAGCCTCAAATGTACACCTGCTGCGGTGTGTAAACATCGCCACTGTGGAATCAAAGGCGCCCGGGCGTGGTGATGGCCACCCCCTCGTGTGCAGTGCCGGCCTTCATAGGTGCTGCTTGCTAACAGCACTTGCCCCAATAGTCTCTCACAGGCTACACAGGTGATCTTTGTCTCTGTATGCGTGTGTCTTTGTATCTGTGTGTGTGTCTGTATACAGTGCTGCTCGCTAACAGTACTTGCCCCAACAGTCTGTAAGGCTACACAGGGGATCATTGTCGTTCTGTGCGTGTGTGTATGTCTGTGTGTGTGTGTCTGTGGCTCTTCTTTTGAACAAAAGAATGAAGGGGGCATGGGAGCGTGGCGGTGAGGTGTGGGAAGCTGTAAGCCCCAGGCTACTTTGGGCTCGCCTTCCCATCAACCGGAGGCGAGGAGTGGTGGTCGTGGTTACTTATGCCCCCACCGAAGACGAACATCCGTGGAGGGATGCAGGCAAAGCCGATGAGTCAGATGCCTTCTATGACCTCCTGTCACAGGTGCTGGCTAAAGTGCCCCCTCGGGATTCGAGTCACCTTGTTGGGTGACTTCAATGCCTGAGTTGGTCATGATGCTGGCACCTGGTCTGGGGTGATTGGAGGGCATGGGCCAGATCAGCTCAATAACAATTGTAGGAGGCTGCTAGATTTTTGTGCAGCCCATGGGCTTGTAATTACCAACACGCTGTTCCGGCATCTGCGCATCCACACAACATCATGGATGCATGCCGGGTCCAAGCAAGAACATCTGCTGGGCTACATAGTGACGAACCAGCGGATGCGAGCCCATGTCCTTGACACCAGAACCTACCGTGGAGCTGACCTGCCCTCTGACCGTCGACTAGTCATCTGTAAGATGCGCCTGCCATTCTTCCACTCCGGTGGTGGGTGTACACCCAGGACCCCATTCCAACCTAAAGTGGCCTGGTCTCAGTTATCTTATGAAAGTTGCAAGCGATAATTTCATCATCGCTTGCGGCTGGGGTTGGCATCGTCCCTCACTCCTCCTGATGTCGAGGGTAAATGGGCAAGGTTTAGGACTGTGACTCATGCAGCTGCAATGGCTGCTTTGCGTACGCGATCCAGACCTCCCCAGAGACCCTGGCTGACATAGGAGGTGTTCAGGATGGTTGAGAAAAAGCGACAGGCCCACTGTCATCGGCTACAGAATCCCACGTCGGAGAATGGGGAGGCTTACCGCAGCCTTCGCTCGGAGGTTTGGAGAGCCGTGAGGCGCTGGAAGGATGGGTGGTGGTCGCGGGTTGCCTCAATGGCCCGCGATCACAAAACTCTATTTAACTCCGTCAAAAAAGTAACCTGCAGCGCCACACCTATTACCATCATTAGGGGAAAACACGGTGATCCAATCTCCGACCCCCAGGAACAGGTTTGCAGATTTGCTGAGCATTTCTGTGAGGTCCTGGGGGAGGGAAAATCCCTCAGTCAGGAAAACATCATGGCACAAAGTGAGGATGACCCTGCTGAGGCTGCGGTACCTCAAATATTGGAAGAAGTCACCCCCTGTGAGTGGCTGGCTGAAGTACCATCTGTTGAGGAAGTACTGAAGGCGATCCGGAGTTTGAGACCAAGAAAGGCAGCGGGCAGAGGTGATCTCCCAAGCGAAATGCTGAGGGAGGGTGGCGTTTGTGCACAGACTGCCCTATATGACATCATAACAACAGTCTGGACCACTGGACAGGTTCCGCAGGATTGGAAGGATGCCCTGGTGGTCCCCCTCTTTAAGAAGGGGGACCGCACAGACTGTAACAACTACAGAGGCATCTCACTCCTCAGTGTGCCGGGAAAGGTCCTGGCAAGGATTATTCAACATCGCCTTGCCAGGCTTACGGAGCCACAATGCGGTTTCAGGAAAGGGCGGTCCTGCACAGATGCCATGTTTTCTGTCCGTCTGCTACAGCAGAGGTGTAGGGAATTCCAACAAGACCTACATCTCTGCTTTATTGACCTGGTCAAGGCCTATGATACTATCAGTAGGCCTGGGCTCTGGGTTGTTCTTCGTGATTTTGGAGTCGCTGACCCTCTGCTCACGATAATTAAGGACCTTCATTATGGTGAGCGGGCCCAGGTAAAACTACAGGCCAGGAGTCAGAGCCATTCCCTGTACATCGTGGGGTGCGACAGGGATGTCCTCTGACTGCCACATTATTTAACATCTATTTTGACCACGTAGTTCGTGAAGCCTTCAATAGCTGTACCGGGGGAATCTCAATTTGGTACAGATATAATGGGAGGCTGATCGATGCCCGGGTGCGGTCAAGGGATGGCTCCCTATTGCTCAACCACGCTATGTATGCCAATGATTTGGTAATAGCTGCTCATTCAGAGGAGCAGTTGGAGACGCTGCTGCTGAGACTGGAGCGTGCCACTAAGAGATGGGGCCTTACCATCAGCCCCACCAAAACTAAGCACCTGCCTGGGTATTTTGAACAATCGGGCACTCCACCCCCACAACTCCCAATCGGTGATGGGGCAGTTGTGGAGAGAGTGGAGAGTTTCCCATTCCTGGGCAGTGTGCTTATGACCGGCTCCAGTTTAACAGCAGAGGTCTCACTCCGAATCAGTCGAGCGGCAATATATTTTCATCGGTTGCGTAACGCTGTGTGGAAGCTACCTGGTCTGTCGCTCCGCACTAAGCTTCAGGTCTTCTCGGCCACGGTCATTTCCTCCCTTCTCTATGCTTGTGAAACGTGGACCCCCTTAATGGAGCATCTTCGCCGGTTGGAAACATTTAGGCTGGCCTGCTTACGATCCAACCTGGGTTTAACCAGGCTGGATTGTGTGAGGAGCTCACAAATCCTTGAAAGATCTGGGCAATGTTTCATCGGTGAGCTCCTCCGGCAGGCAAGGCTGCGTTGGCTGGGTCATGTAGCCCGAATGCCCAGCCACCGCATGCCCAAACAGCTTTTGTTCGGCCGGATCGAGGGGGCTAAACGGGCGTGGCACGGGCTAGAGAAGAGATGGAGTGATGTGGTACAGGAGGACGTGGAGCTGAGTGGACTTGCCGATGACTGGTACCAGCGGTGTCAAGATCGGCCTCTGTGGAATAGGCTCGTGAAGGACGCTATTGGGCAGTTGGAGGCAGTCGCCCTCCAACAACAACGGAGGGTGGAGGATCGATGCTCACAACAACGAGCGGAGCGCCGAGTGGCTAAAGCTCAGCAAGTTGGCACAGTAGGGGGCACAGGTGGTGCACCAGCCAGTCATCTCAGTCAGTCGACCCGTGGCACCTGGGTCTGCCCCGTGACCTCCTACCAGCGGGCCTTCGATATTTCATGTGGCCTCAAGGTGCACATAGCCTGGCACAAGCGTCGTGGTGACGTCACCGCCACTTCGTGGCGAATGGCGGTTGTTGTTGTTGTGTGTGCGTGCGTACAATTGTGGGGACTCGGTACGCCCCTTCCGACAAGCAAGCCAACTTATTTCCCACCATATGTAGCGAACCGTGTTAATCGGAGGTGAACATATATTTTACTTATTATATTCCATGTTACTTATTACGTGTAAATGTACAATATTTATTCTTATTTATGAGTTTTACAATGCTTCCCTTTTTTCTTGTTGAACCGTAACTAATTGTAGAACACTGACAATATGTGCATTTAAATACAGTGCATTGTTGTGTTCCGACTGACGAACCATTCGACTTACGAATCGCTCTCAGGAACGGGACCCATTCGTAAATGGAGGACTGCCCGTGTCTCAGTTAAGAGACAACGAGCTAGTGCATTGGCTATTACTTATGAGCATAGTCTCGTGTTTTGAATGGGAAGATTTGCCTTTTATTATGTTATCAGGAGAGAAATGTGGCTCCAAACCCATCTCTGTGCACGCATGACCGGCCACGGCCATTGCCTGGGTTCGATCTCGCGCACGTGGCTTGAGGCTTCTGGGTTTAGCTCACCAGGTAAGAGTGCAGCCCTGACAGCCACTGCGCTCACAACCATTGCTCAACTAAACTATTTACCAGGTAAAGCCCACTGAGCTATATAGCTATTTTTTTAGAACCGACGTGGCTACCTTATGAAGGCCGGCTTTGTTTCCCTCGTGGCGATGTTTACACACCACTCCAGATATTAGTTTAAGGCTGAGTCGATTTAGGGGAGGCACAGGACCCGTTAAAAAAAATCTTCACTGGGTGGTGGTCGTGAACGGAAATCGAACTGTGGTAGTCGGGGTCGGAGCAGAGCACGCTAACCACTACACTACTGCTGACCCCGAAACACACGCACACACACACTCGCTCACACACAGCCCTGCTCGTGGCTGTGGTAAATAACAACACGGCGATTTTTCCCAGAGAGGAAATGGAATTTCTCACCGACCGAGTGACGCATCTGGCTCGACCGCACGCCCATTGCTCACAGCGGCTATCGCGAGGGAGCTGCAGCTTGGAGCAAGACGCGAGCGCAGACAAAACGAGAGCTACGCATCCGTATGTATGTTGTGTGTATGTTGTATGTGTGTTGTATGTGTGTATGTTGTGTGTATGTATGTTGTCTGTGTGTATGTGTGTATGTTGTATGTTTTATGTACGTGTGTTGAACTTCTTTGGCACCGTACGTAGCCAACTGTGCTCATCGGTGGTGCAGGGGAAGGACAACAAACTAAACACAAAAAGCAGTTCTAAAGCAATGAGTTGTCAATCTCTATGATTTAAAACTGCATAGCTCCAGTGGCTTCCTAATATCGCAAGGAAGAGCGCTCCAGACGGCTGCAGAAGCGCGATGCGGTGACCTCTCTCTATTCGATGGCTAGCCAAAAGTGTAGTATATAGTGTAGTGTATAGTGTAGTGTATATTGGTGTAGTATATAGTGTCGTGTATTTAAAATATTATTTGAAAGCGTGCGATGCGGTGACCATCTTTGTTCGATTGCTATCCAAAATCTGCTACTGCGATGATGACTTGAGTTCGCTTGATGTTTTATGCTCCTTGACGAGATCAGCGAGGTATTGTGGTTCATTTGTGGTAAGCACTTTGTGTGTGTAACTAGTGCGGTGTTAGCCACCCATCCCCTTCGTAGGCGTTACTCGCTACGAGTACTTGCCCCAACAGTTTGTTCAAAGCTTTAAGGGGGATGTCTTTTTGTGTAATGTGGATGTACTAACACAAGCTTTGTGTGTGCATAGCAATGTCTGTGTGCTCCTATGTACGGGGAGTGGTAGTTTAACGATTAGTGTGCGGCCCTACAAACTCGGCGACCCGAGTTCAAGTCCCGCTCACGGCCAACATCAGTGAATATTATCTGGACCAGTTCTGGGCCTCCCCCAGCTTGACTCAGCCTTTAATGAGCTCCTGCTGTGAAGCAAAAATATCAGCATTGGGGAGACAAAGGCGGCAAGGTGTTGGCCATACACCTCCCCCTTTGTGTTCTGTGCTGCCCTTCATTGGTGCTCGCTAGTAACTGCACTTGCCCCAACATTATTAGAGGCTACACGGGAGATCTTTATCTTTGCTGTTGTGTTTGCCTCTGTATATGCTCTATGGAGGTTGGTAGTATTTTGTATATGCGGAGTGTATTTGCTACAACAAACTTCGCCACGCTGGTCAATTCGAATTGGTGGTTAAATGGAGGGGAGATGAGGGAGCCATCACTTTTTCAGATCTAAATTCAGCATCTATGCTATCCGTGGCCTGGAGTCGAACTCATGTTTACACGTCGTGGCGTTGTCGATATTGGTGAGAATGAATAGTGTTGATGTTAACGTTGGTATTGTTATGTCAGAATGTTGTTGGTTTTAATGTTACGTCATGTGTTTTGACGTTGATGTTATATTACTAGATTATAAATCTGTCTTCGCCAGGCAAAATATTTAAATAAACATAATAATTATGATCGTTTTTTTTAACAACTTTTATCTACAACCAAACACGAACAAGTACTAAAAAAAAATTGTGCCAAAAAATTGGCAACTTTAATTCAACTTCCGATGTTTAAAGCCGTACCCATCGGAAACTGCTATTATTATTATACACGCTGCTATTATTATTATTTTACACGCTTTTTATTAACTCACTCTGTTGTATCCTAAATTTTTACCCACTTCCCAATGTGGTATCGACTGCAAACTTGGTATACTTAGGTCATACTGATGACAATACTATATTCTATCATGAAAAATCATAATAATTATATATTTTAAACATTCTTTTTTACATGTTGTGTTTCGGCTTCGGTCTAATTGTCCACGCTCAACTGACGTTGGCTGTAAATCACCACGGCCTCCTTACGGTGCAAGCTTCGGGGCCACTTCCTGGAATCGTGGAGTTCTGCCATTACTCGTACGGTACATTTCATTAAAGCGTGTTTTTAAAAAAAAGTTTTTGAACTATTACTTATTTTAGAAGAAAGAACAAAAAATAATGAACTTAATACTCTAAGTTTTCGAATTATTCAGATTTCGACAGCATAAAATGTTTTTTTTTCATTCAAAACCGCTTGAAACCGAAATATCTCAAAAATAATAAAATAATTGTTCTCACTTAAATTGTATTTGCTGTTAAACGCTCTATCAAAGGGAAATAAACGCAATCTTATATTTTGAACGGTTTGTGAATGACATGCACAAACATGTTCATGGGGCATTTAAAATCGAAATTTGGGGGCCGTAAAATGATAAATCTCGGATTTTAAGATTTATCTTCTGTTGTCTGTGTCCTATAAGTGACCTATGTACCAAATTGCAGCTTTCCACCTTGTCGGGAAGTACTATGGACGTTTTTTGAGACATACATACAGATTGTCTTCATTTATATTGATTGTTGTTGATATGTTAATGATTGTGGTGTTATATTGTCATTTTATTGTTTCCGTTACATTATTGTTGTTCTATCTTTGATGTATTATTGTTAACGATCTTTGTTGACGTTATACTGTTGATGATGTCGACATTTTGTTTCATGTTTAATTGTTCTTGATATCGATGTGTTGACGTTGTGTACGTTGATGATAAGTCAAATTGTTGTTCTTGATGTCGATTGACTATAGGCCAGCAAATGTTGTTGGGAAGTGAACACCAACAACTCAATGTTGCTTGCAATGCATTAGAGGAATTGTTCTCAAACTTGTATGTCAGGCGCACCAGTTAGCCGATGTAAACAATGACTACTGTTCTTTATTATGCCAGGTAAAGTCCACTGAGCTATGTAGTTATTTTTCAGAAGCGACCTGGCCATCACAAATTACGGCTCAACAAATTGGCTTATCACGTGGACATTCATAGCAATAGCCAAATACTCTAAACGCACATCGACTCTTAATGTGTAGAGACAAAACCTGAGGACCCGGAGAAAAATCAAAGTGACCACGGGGAGAGAGAGATACGCACACTCCAAATATACGGCAGGCGTTAGGGTCGGGATCAAGCCCACAATCTCCTGCATACCAAGCGAGGTAGTTAACATCTCATCACCGTGGCGCCAAACATTTCTGCTAACCACTCAACCTCTCTACCCCTCATGACAAAACGCATTCACTTATCTTTGTAAATACCAGCAATATAACAGGATTAATATTACCGGAACATCCTTATAGCTGCGTTTGTACACAACTATAATGATATTTTTTATGGGGGGGGGGGGGGGAATTATCTCTTAGGGTTCAGGCAGTTTGATGAGGGTAATTGACCTCATTTCTTTGGTTCTTTCGGGAAAGTCACGTAGGTGAATAAATAAGGATTATTTATTTATTTTTATTTCATTTTTATTATATTTTTTTCACCTAAAGAGAGTTATATTATTATTAATGTCTGAAACAAGGGTCTAAACATGTCCTTATGGACACCTGTGACAAAAAGAGTTTCATGGCTCATCGGATGTCCTCCTGCAGTGTAAATTATGATTCTGATTCTGAACCTGTGTTTGCATCTGTAGCCGGTCTGCCCTGCTGTACCCTCTTGTTCCGTTTTCGTGAATCGTTGCGAGGGGGGACAGGTCGGCTAAATAGACAGCAGTCAGAACAATAACAACAATAAAACTAAAGTTCTGAGACGATGATTCGATGTACTCTGCGTTGTGTTCTGTCTTCTGGAGAAGTAGTGGCAACTCCACATCAGCTGAGCCACCAGTGGTTTGTGGTGGTGGTTGTGAAACGGCAAAACTTTTTTCAAAAGTCGTCTTCAGAAGGGATATTTCCTATCTGCAATGAGGGCACAGACTAAATAATTAACCTGTCAGCAGTAAAGACATCTTGTCCAGCTGCGGCTGGACGAAGTACGTGTGAAGCTAATGGAGTGACGTGACAGTGGCGGTATTAACATGGGCAGCAGCAGTACCGAGTGTAGAAAGTTATCACTGAAGGCCTATGAAACAGAAGTTTCTAGGGCCTACAAGAACATTCATCCGGGCCTGAGCTAATGTCAAATGTGCAGTTCACCAGCACGAAGTCCGCGCAAATCTAAATTGGGAACGTGGCTCGTACTCTGCTTTGCACGTGGGGGGCTCGTGGTCCAATCGCTGATCACTGTTGGCATTCACTTAAATAATAAAATAAAACACCCGCCTACCCATAACTATGAGCAGAGTGCACACTTATACGTGTGATTAATCACAGGTGAGCTCATACCCGGCTACACTTTCATTGAAAGTGTTTTTTTTTTAAAGCGTGGCTTTTTTCTGATGTGCAGTGAACGTGGGGTGCCGCAGTGACGAGATGTTATCCCCCTTGCCTGGTATGCAGGAGGTCGTGGGTTCGATCCCGACTAACGATACCCGTTGTATATGTAGTGGGTTCACTTTGAGCACAATAACTCAGGAGGCAACACGTTTATTCTACAAACACAACGGGGTAACTACATAACCGGTACTACCACGGGATAACTACATAACCGGTAACTACCACGGCATAACTACATAACCGGTAACCAGCACGGGATAACTACATAACCGGTAACTACCACGGGATAACTACATAACCGGTAACTACCACGGGATAACTACATAACTGGTAACTACCACGGGATAACTACATAACCGGTAACCACCACGGGATAACTACGTAACCGGTAACTACCACGGGATAACTACATAACCGGTAACTACCACGGGATAACTACATAACCGGTAACTACCACGGGATAACTACATAACCGGTAACCACCACGGGATAACTACATAACCGGTAACTACCACGGGATAACTACGTAACCGGCAACCACCACGGGATAACTACATAAACGGGTCAGGTCAGTTGGCACACTGCCTGACCCACGATGCTGAGCACAAAGACCGAAGACCCAGGGGAAGACGTAGCACGGCGGGTTCCACTCCAGCAGACAGCCCCGATGCAGCCTCGGGACCTCCCTTTTATACCTCCCAGCGTGGCCTGGCTCCGCCCTCGGCCACACCCCCTTCTGGAACCTACCAGAAGGTTCTGGGCCATACACCTTTGGCCCACTTCCCTTACCTGGCCTAGCACATGCCCTTGCCACTCAACAGGGATGCTACGTCCTCAGATGCCCTCTTCCTGCCAGTCACCAGAACTATGCCCCCTAGGGACCCTTTACATGACATTGGATATCCTGCTGGCAGAGAGGGCTACTTCACTCCCAGTTCCCCTTTCTATCAGTAACTGGCACTCGGTTCTGTAGTGACCCATTATATGTCACTACAAATATTTCAAGTTTGCATCTCTTTCTTTCTATCTTCCTGTCTCCGGGGTCCTCCGGTTTTTCCTTCCAAATTTAGAATCAACATGCCATATAGATTATTTAGCTTCTATAAATGTCCACATGGCAAGCCACTTAGGTTGAACTGCTATCATTTGTGATGGCCAGGTGAGCTCACACCGGGCTACACATCACAGCCACTCCTGGGTCAGGGGACCGCACCTCTGAGAACCACTGCGCTAGAGGAACAGCCACACGGGCAGCGGTCATGCAGAGCAATGTCGTTCTCCTGCACCAGTTCCTGGAGACAAGAACACAATGCAACGCCAGCGAGCACCGACTGTTTCATGCTATGCCTATGTGTATCTATGTTGAACTTATTTCTCACCGTAATAATAATTATTATTGCATCCCATAACGCTGCACATCTATTATCCAGTTCCGTACAAAAATACGAAAATAAAACCCAACTGCTTATAAAAAAGTTAATACGTAAATAACGAGAAAAAATGCACATAACAAGAAACATTATTCGTTTTCAATGTAGTACAGTGCTGTAGTGGAGTGTATAATCACGTAATGTATAATAGTGTAGTGTGTTGTGTAAAGTAGTGCAGTGTATAGTAGTCCAGTATGTAGTGTAAAGTGTAGTGTATAGTAGTGTAGTGTATTGTAGTGTAATGTGAATATAACTGGTCACAACGGGACCCTGTGTGTTGTGCTTGCTCTTACCTTGCCCTGTCCTCATCCCTGTCTCTTGTAACCCACCCTAGGAGCTCCCAACCATGAACCACCGCAAATCCGCCTTCTTCATAACGGTAATGGCGGTGGCGGTGCACGTGACTAACTCAAGTAAGAAAGATGGAGTGGAACGTTGGTAAACAACAGAATTCAGCGTGCGTGTGTGCTCTCCAATGTGCGCTCCTTCGGTTGTTTACATTCGCGATAGTAATGGTCGCGCCCAGTGCCGGATTATCCCAGTAGTAAAAGCTGCTACGTATGCTACGGGCTGTTGTATATATGAGCCTTTTTCCATTTTTTTTAAGAATGAGTTTGCCAATTTTTTTTCGTGGTGTCGCTTGGAGGTCAGAGGGGATGAGGTGAACAACCCCTCCCCTCACAGCAGCCGCCATTCTCGCACACAACAAGCCGCCGGAGATAAGCCATAAAAAGTAATGAAACCCAAACAAAGAGGAAAAGGGGGGGGGAGGGGGAATTACTAATGAGACTCGAGGGGAAATCTACAGGACTTCAAAGGCCCCCTTTTTAAGAGCACAGACAACCAGGCGCCACGAGCACAGGCCACTTCTAAAATAATTTTCCTTTTCGTTGCTCTTAATACATTGGTTAAAGTTCAGAACTTAGCCACAAATTAGTCGACATCATAGACTGTCCACACACTCACTACGATAAAAACAGACTACAATCTACATAGTGGGTTATTACTTCTCATACATAACATTGATACTAACGTTATTCACCTTAATTTACATTACATCTTGCCATTTACGTGACTTTGCAAAAACCAAAGAAATGAATGCCAGCAGTCAAGAAGCTTAACCAATAACTCGAGAACAAACAGCACAAACCCAGGATACAGGCGAGGGAACGAAAAATAATAAACCCTAAGAAATACGTGGTGATGATGATGTTAAATCACAAATCTTGGGAAACATAAACCAAATAATAATTATGCAGTATTAAACCGGCGGGCCATCCAGAAGAGATGAGGCGAGGTGGGTCGATCACATGACCAAGATAAATGTATCCCAGAGAGAAAGAGAGCCTCCTGGCCGCCTTTGTCTTCCAGCAGCACGTAATAAGAATTTGCATACGCAGGCAGAGGGCATCTCCTCTTAAAATAAAAATCAAATACCACGATGGAAACACTACTACAACATACCTTGAGTCACGTACAGAATCATAACTACAAGTGGTACGGTTAAATTTCGATTTAAAGCTTTCGTGACTACAAGGATTCATCTTCTTTGGTTCTTTCGGTAAAGTCACGTAGAATGAGAATAAAATAATAAATGGATAAAATAAAATAACACAATTGAACCAAAGAAGTGGTACGGTATCAAACTATGAGGTAAAATAAATGTTTAACTTCAAAAGCCTCAACACACCCTTTGTGCGAGGCAAAAGAATGTCACACCAGGAGGGAAGAGCAGGGGGGGAGGACTCGACCGGACAGGGGGCACCCCTCTCCTTCCAGATTAATTAGTGCAGAAGGTGTGAAAGAAGGACGCACTCGGGGGCAATCTGGAGCATCTGTTTCCTTTTGAATGCGGGATGGCTTGAGGAAGGCGACAGGAAACCATGCCTTGAGGAAACTCATTACCTCAATAAATATGACACACACACGGACACACGTACAACCCCCCCCCCCCCCCCCGCAACACAGAGCAAGATCAAAGGAAGTTCCGGTCCTTTGTGAGAAGGCGAGCCAGAGAAAGAAATTTCAGCATAAAAAGAGAGACAGAACCACACAATCACAGCTACCAGCGGCAGAAGACGGCGACCATCAGCTCGGCAAGGACAGCTCAGAAGAGGACAGCAAGCCAGCTCCGGGGCATGGCCTAGAGATCAACAATGCGTGTGAAGCATCGCAGAGAAGAGGGGTGAGGTGATGCTCTATACTGAGTTCGGCATGGACCGACAGAGTATCGCTGAAAGTTATTCTGAGCGTAAATCAATCAACCTCGAGAAAGGGCGGAGAGGGCCAAGCAACAACAAAGCCAGCATTGCAGAAAACCAGCTGCACGCGCAATCGGCACCGCCAGAGAGAGACGGAGCAAGTGAGAGAGCAGCGCAGCAGCACCACCAGCACCACCAAGCAAGGGTGCCAGCTGCCAGCGGACAAGCGTTGTGCCGACTCGGCTCATCCGGCAGGGAAAGACCCTGATCAGCCACCCGTGAGCAAGAGTGTCAGCGCCAGCGAGCGCGCTGTGGGTTCGACCCACACGCTCACCGACCAGCACCGGCTGGGAACCAAGACAAGAGTGAGGAACTGCAGTCAGCGGACGAGCTGCGGGCGCTATCTAACGACGGATCATCGCGCACGACGGGGAGCATCGTGCCGACTCTTCCACCCAGCTGTGGACAGAACTGTGGCCGCCCGTGTGAAAGAAGGAATGCCAAGCTGTCCGTATGATACACACAACCTCACTCCCTGACCGCTCCGCAGGGAACAATCATATTTTGAAACAAGGGATGCCCAACCCCGGCGTCTGCTTTTTGCAAAGAATTGAACAAGTGGCAAAGAAGACACACAACACGCATATCGGGACAAATACGATTGTTCCAAAAAGTTATCTTTGTGTTTCAAGAAGGGTTGCCATTCAAAGGTGGTGCATTAAATATCAGCTGATCGTGAAAAGCATTGCTGCCTGTCAAGTTACATGAATACTATGGTTTAGAAGTATTTTACTCATCCGTTTTCGTTAATAGCATAATCTTGCCAATGAATTAATTGATAACTACTCTTGCCTTCGGGACATGTTTCTTTATTGCCTTCGTATGAATATCGTTGCATGAATTTTTAAGGACGTTTTGTTCCTATCGCCGTGTATGCTCGCGTACTCTGAGGAATAATCGATTGTTCTGTTACCCAGTTAACAAACGTGATCATTGCAGGTTAAAGGTATGGATCAATGAGGGGTACATCTCCAGGAGTACTGTGTTGATAATTTCAAGCATAAGCGTTCGCATATTAGAGTGTTAAGGTTTTGTATAGAAATTAAAATCGCTTAACACAAGAAGTGTCTGCGTGGTGCCTTCCTAAGTTCATGCATAATAATCTTAATTATAAGAACTGTATCCTGTGGTGAGATTTGAATTTGGAGACATGACATAAAAACACTAAGACAAAATCAGTAAATGTTAAGCGAGAATAATTGTATCATACCGATTGATAATACGAACCTAGACAGCGAAGCCGAGCTTAATCTAGCATACTTACAGCACACCTGCATAACTTCATACAATTAATTGTATGATCCCGATTGAAAATACTACCCTGGTAAGCGAGACCGGGCCTAATTATCATAACTGCCCACATTAGCATAATTACATACATCCGCATAAATTAATACGATTATATAATCAGCATAATGTATGCTAATTGGTATAATTTATGCATAAAATTAGATCACTTAACATAATTTCGGATAATTACGCATTTTTGTCAAATTTCATTAAATTTTTATTATTTTAATTAAATTTTCAAGACCCGGCATATACAACAGGGCCCCTCACTTTCAAGGGCCCCGCGCTAAATGCTTTCAAGCTTTCAATTCCAGTTCAGTGATTCGGCACTTGCTCTATTACTATAGTACTATACTGCCATCGATTTTTATGAACGACTGGGTGTTTAAGGTTAGCGATTTGTTGTATTATCTGGCTGTATAGCAAATACAATTACCTTACTATGCAAGTAAAAAAAATTGTGTTTTAATATTTATGTGCGCTTTTTTTAGGGCCCCTTTATACCATATGCTACGGGCCCCGCACGAGGTTAATACGGCACAGGTCACACCCATACCACGGTGGCTAGGAGAAAAACTGCCTCGCCTGGTATACAGGAGGTCGTGGGTTCTATTTCGATCCTGAGGCATGCTCTATATTTAGAGTTTGCGTGTCTCTCTGATCATCATCACGATGGCTAGGAGATGTTAACTGCCTCGTCTGGTATGCAGGGTTGTCGTGGGTTCGATCCCGACACTGATGGCTGCTATATATTTGGAGTTTGCATGTCTCTCTCTCAGGGCCGGCCCTAGACTAGCTGCCAGCAACTGGCGCCCGAGGCGAACCATGCAATCAGCACCCCCACCCCCAAACTCCAAGGAGATGTTAACGACCTCCCCTGGTATGTAGGAGGTCGTGGGTTCGATCCCGACCCTGAAGCTTGCTGTATATTTGAAATTTGCATCTATCTCTCTCTGTGGTGGGCCTTACCTGGTAAAATCATATCTAAAAACACATTTCAGGCCCTGTAGTGCGCGGTGAGACCGCGAGGCTCGCATCGTGGCTCCATCACTTTGTGCAACAGGCAGGAGTTGTGTCGGCCGTGTCCCTCATAACAACCACGCGCATTTTGAAGTGGGGCATGGTTTGTGAGTTATAAATAAGCTACACACACCTGATAAGTTCCATTCAGTCATAGCGTAATTCGTGTCCGCTGTAGATTAATGATTCAGCTTAATTTATATCAATACGTTTGTAATCAAAATAAGCCGAGTTAAGAGTGGTGGTGCAGTGGTTGTATGTACGTGTGTATGTATGTTGAACCTATTTCGCACCGTATGTAGTCAACCGTGCCAATCGGAGGTGAGGGGGAAGAACAAACGAAATGCAAACATCAGTTATGAAGAAATGAGTTGTGAATATAAATCATGTCAAAGTGCACAGCTCCAGTAGCTTCCCAATATCGGAAGGAAGAGCATTCCAGAAGCACATCTGAAAGTGCATGATGTGGTGACCATCTTTGTTCGATGGAGAGCCAAAAGCTGCCACTGCGAGGATGACGGAGTTTGCGTGATAGTTTATGCTCCTTGACGAGATCAGCAAGGTATTGTGGTTCATTTGTGGCAAGCGCAGTGTGTGTAATGAGTACTCGGCGAACACTGGGACTGACAGTGGCATCAACGGCATTGGCAGTGACGGCCTCCTCAACCGCGCGTGACCCTTTTATGTCTTCAATCGTTTCCCCCAATTATGTTATCAACATAATATCACGAGATACGCAACCTCACAGCTACCGCTAAAATCCCCCTTGAAAGAACATCTCACCCTCACAATAGGGGGCAGCACTTCTCCACCCACTCTGTCACCCAGAGTAATGTTCGTCACTAAACCCTCGCGAGCGTGATAGTTCTTGAAAATTGCTCGCAATTCAGAATTTAGCGAATCCAGAAACATTGGTTCCATTTGGGGAAAAATGGGGGGAATTGCTCCTGTTAAAAGTGAACATTGGGTAAGAAATTGGCTAAAATAAATAATAAACTGCACAGAACAAGTTTTTTTTACCTTTATCGATGATTATTTTTATTCTTAGCTCTTTCGGTAAAGTCACGTTGAAGGAAAACAATAAAATAATAAAATATATATAAAGCAATAAAAATTCTCACGACGTTTCGACCATAACACAAACGGTCGTCATCAGGTGTGTCAGTTTGTGTTATGGTCGAAACGTCGTGAGAATTTGTATTGTTTTATATATATTTTATTTCATTGTTTCCCTTCAACGTGACTTTACCGAAAGAGCTAAGAATATGAATTACTGCAGTCACGAAAGCTTTAAATCAAAATTTAAAGATGATTATTTTGATTTGACAATGATTCGTAAAATGTATAACTGAGTCAACTGTAAGTACGTATAAAGTAACAAATGCACAATAGCGAGTTCAGGACAAAGCGGGCGGCCCAGAGAGGGCTCGCCTCATCTTCACAGCGGACCGTTTCAAATGTAGTTAAACTATATTATTTTATTATGTTTTATTTTATTTATTATATTATTTCCCTTCTAAGTGACTTTACCGAAAGAACCAAGAATATGAATCCCTGCAGTCACGGAAGCTTTAAATTGTAGTAAAACTCTGCGGTCTGTCGGGACTTTCATAGAACTCTCGAATACTGAAGTTTAGCAGGTTCGCGAATAGGGAATTAGTATGCATTTAGTAACTTGCGAATATGCGAAACTAGAAATTTCCATATGCTTGCGCATACGGAGGGTTGTACTCAATTCATTTCCCAGAGATGATATTTTGAAAAGGTATCCGTGTATGTGTGGAGATGGCATGGTTTTTTGATGCTTCCAGGCTGCTCATATCCAGCTATTAAAGTTCAATGATGGTGGTCTCTGCATTCGTTTTGCACATCTTTCTTTATGTAGCAAATAGCCCCATTCAGCACATGGCGGCTGTTGAAGGCGAAGATGTGCTCCTTAACTGTTCAACATCGTCCACAATATACCGCGTGCGATGGAGATATGGACAGTCTAACACAACGGTGAGTATTGTATTATCCCTGATTACACATGGTATTACCGATTTAGCACATTTTAGGGATTATCAGCCCAATGCAATATCCGTCTGTATTGCTACACACAGTGTGAATATTACTCGTACAGAATGTGCCGTATTTAAAATGTTAAGAAATACATTACAAGTAAACGGTCTTAGGTCGAAGTTCCTTTTAGAGATCTCTCTCGTTAGTCTAAGCCCGTGCTTCTTAACCTTTACTGCACCCCTGCTTCTCAATCGTTAAACATGTTACATGTTCATAAATACATAGGTTTGATGAAACAAAGTAGTTGTAATTACGTGCCCGTGCCTAATTTGTCTGTCAATGATTTACCTTCGAAAACAATCTGGCCATGTTTCACACTCCTAGAAAGGGCATCTCACACCCACATGGGGTGCATGCTCCCCAGGTTAAGAACCACTAGTCTAAGCTGCCCAGAGACCCCATTCAGAGATGGGGTGCATGCTCCCCAGGTTAAGAACCACTAGTCTAAGCTGTCCAGAGACCCCATTCAGAGATGGGGTGCATGCTCCCCAGGTTAAGAACCACTTGTTTAAGCTGTCCAGAGACCCCATTCAGAGATGGGGGTCCGTCAGCAATCTTAACACAAACTCTGTGGCTCTTCGACAGCAGCTGGTGGTACGGACATCAAAATGGGTTGACCTCCAACTTCCTTTGGCCTCAATGATAGCGAGGCAGGGTTACTTCTCGTGAGACTAAATATCAGCTACCTCCTGTTTGCCAGGGCTGGTGGGGGGACAGTGATGGGTGCAGTTATCTGTATGTGTGTAGTGTATAGTAGTGTAATGTATAGTAGTGTAGTGTATAGTAGTGTAGTGTATAGTAGTGTAGTGTATAGTAGTGTAGTGTATAGTCGTGTAGTGTATAGTCGTGTAGTGTATAGTGTAGTATATAGTAGTGTAGTGTATAATAGTGTAGTGTATAGTAGTGTAGTATACAGTAGTGTAGTGTATAGTAGTGTAGTGTATAGTAGTGTAGTGTATAGTAGTGTAGTGTATAGTCGTGTAGTGTATAGTCGTGTAGTGTATAGTGTAGTATATAGTAGTGTAGTGTATAATAGTGTAGTGTATAGTAGTGTAGTATACAGTAGTGTAGTGTATAGTAGTGTAGTTTATAGTATTGTAGTGTATAGTAGTGTAGTGTATAGTAGTGTAGTGTATAGTAGTGTAGTGTATCGTTGTGTAGTATATACTGGTGTAGGGTAGTGTATAGTATACCATGTATGTGTGTTGAACTTCTTTTGCACCGTACATAGCCAACCACACTAACTGGACGTACAGGGGGGAAACAAACTAAAACACAACGACAAGAAATGAGTTGTCATTTAGCTGCAGCTGTGTTTGGTTGTTGTTGTAACGACATCTGTGAAGAAGAGCTCCAATAGCGCATCGTATTCATACAGACTAAATAAATGTTCTGATTTTGTTTTTAATGTTGCTGGCTATAAAATAAAATGTTAATCTTTCGTGCGACGCTTTGGCATCGCCCTTAATGTCAATCCTAGATTAGAGGAGTGATTGTCTCTTGTAATTAGCTCAGCTTTCTACCAGTTCAGAAATATAGCCTGATATTGCCCCTTTGAAATAGTAGCGGTGTAGAGATTATGTGTCATGCGCTACTATAACCTCTAGGATTCCCGATTGAAAACCGCTGTTTGCTGGACTGCCCGAATAGCTTCTTTGTTGTCTCCAGCTTGTGCAAGATGCGGGCTGCTAGGGGTTCTTAGTGGACAAGGTGAATTGAGATCAAACATCCCCCAGTGCTCAGAGTTCTGCAATTCGCTACCGGGTCCCCCATTTTGGGTTTCAGTCAAAATCCTTCTGTTAACGCAAGGGGATTTTTTTTTTTGCTGTGAGATGCGCTGTGTAAAAGAAGATACATTCAAATTCTACCAATGTTTTAGAAGCGTTAAATGATAATACATATGGAAACTAATATAGTTGCGCAAATCAAAAAAAATGTAAGTTGTCGATTTAACCCCAATCCTTAAAAAATATACGGATGAAATATATTGTTTGACGTAATTCGAAAAAAAATTCCATAATATGTTTTAAATGGTTCAATATAAATATAGAGTTCATCTGCATAGTTTTTTGGAGAGTGCAATGTCAGCCAACTGGTATAAATATACAAACACTAATGTGCAACAATTAAAACAAATTGCTGAACGTGTAATATATCTTGTTCCACAGATATTATATTGTAACATTCAATCTATCACATCCTGCAACCCACTTCTCTGCTACGTGGTTTTCTCTGGCAACCTGAGCAGTGGAAGTGGCTCCATCACTCTGATTTCAGTCCCAACGAACGCGAGTGGAATGTACCACTGTTTTCTGGAAACAAGCACAGCTGATCGTCATGAGATGGTTTACAATTTGACAGTAACTTCTCAAGGTAATGCCACAAAGCTTGAGATGTAAGGAAACGTCTGCATATATAAATTCATATTAACCATTCACTCGATGTAAATAAACTACACACGTTGTGGTTTTAGTTTGTAACAATTATAGTGGTGCATCGATCAATATGTCTGAACATCACAACACATTCATATTATGTGTGTAAACAAGAATCGATTGTATACCTGCATGGCTGTGTTCTATGTATTCAGCTCACTTTTCTCCGAAGATACTAGAGGCCGCTTCATTCACAACAATGTAAAGAAAATAGATTCCAGAATAAAATCACAATCCTTGAATCGCAACAATGCATGGTACTATTAATCTTAATCATAACAAATGTGTTTTTTCTCTCTCCCAATGTTAACTCAGATGCACTGTAAAATCTCAAACTAGCTCAGGCAGCTTGGCACCCGAGTTTAAATCCTTGCTTGGGGAGGGGAACTCAGTCATCATCCTTCAAAGGGTTGACTAAATGATAACTACTTTGTGGGGAAATAAATGAATATTTATATATTTTTAAGGAGGGCCACGGTGGCGAGATGTTATCTTCGTCGAAGGTTGAATCTTGACCCTGACACCTGCTGCTGTATATTTGGAGTTTGCGTCCCTCTCAATCTCCGTAGTAGCTTTGATTTTTTCCGGGTACCTCCACATGCAAATCAACATCACACGTTTAGATAACTGGCTGCTATAAATTCCCAAGTGATGAGCCCCTTTGTTGAGCTATCATTTATGGCCAAGTCACTTATGTAAAAAAGAGCTACTTAGCTTAGTGGAGTCTGACCTGGTAAAATACAAAATAATACTCTTTGGTTCTTTCGGTAAAGTCACGTAGGTAGAAAAAAGTAATAGATCACGATGTTTCGATTGTGTTGCGATCAAAACGTCGTGATCTATTATATTTTTCTACCTACGTGACTTTAGCGAAAGAACCAAAAATATGGATTCCTGCAGTCACAAAAGCTTCAAATCAAGATTATTTATTTTATTTTATTATGTTATGTGCCAGAATAGGTGGCAGGTGGCTCCAGAGCCACAACATTCACTTACCGGGATGTCAAGCGATAGCTAAATAGAGAAATACCGTTGACTGCATACTTATTAACTCTTGATGGAAAACTCTGTCAAATCGCAGAGCGTCTGTAGCCTGGAGTTTGATACAGGCCATTGCTAATTTATCACAACCAGCTTAAACGATTGTCGAACAAGAGGTCTCCTACAACGCCCAAGCTATAATATAGAAAAACAAGTCCTCAACATTGACAACCAATTCACGACTCTTTCAAAATGAGCAACTGACAGACTGGGACCCAGTTTCTTCTCGACTCTGTAGAACAACGGCGTAAAAAAAAACGCAAAACACGACTACAAGTCTTCACGAACGACATCACGAAGAACCGAGGGCAAAGCAAGACTCAGATCTGGGACGGCCGCCATCGGTGGTCAAGATGAGAAAGCTGCAGCGACATGGGAGCGGTGACTCTCTCAGATGGGTAACAAAGCGAGCCATTCCCTTTTACCCACTTCGGGCATCTGTAGCTGGAGCCTACCGCAATTCGCTCCTGCCACACTTATGATGCTAAGTGGCCACCTGGGTCAGTGAGGTGAATAGCTTGCTGGGGGGGTGGGCAGGAGGGGTCAAATGGACGATGCACATGGCGGTTCTTTGCCCTCGCGACTGCTCCCCGTTTGCCCTTGTAGAGAGGCTGGGATGATGATCTCACCATCGAACAAAGACAGTCGTATATATGCACGTATGTGGAACTTATTTTGCACCGTGCATTACCAACCGTGTTAACTGGAGGTGCGGAATGGAGGTAAAACCGCATCGTGCAGCGCTTTCAGATGCTGCCGCTGCTCCTTCTGCAGGGCCCCTCCGAAACGCCCTCCCTCTCCTCCCTCCCACCTTTGTTTATGAAACGTCTGCGCGATCTAGCCCACATCAGCTTAATAATATAATATTGGTCGCGGAAGCCTACGACGTGTTGAATCAAAGTACTATCGTGCACACGCAAATGGGTAGATTGTTTAAAGCTTACCAATGCACATTCGTCCTTGAAAGTGTTTAATCAGCAGTACGGATCCTGTACGGTATCTTCCAGAACAAAACACTACTTGCGATTATGCAATTAATGCTTTTTTTGCTCTGGAGTGTTCCTTAAACGTTTGTACACCACTTTTATACGTTTTATTTTTTTCACAATTCGGTAAGCCCCTAATAGCAACATATCATTTTGCTGAAGCTTCGTCCCTGTAGGATCATATTTACAAGGGTCGTCGTGTTACAAACAGACAGGCAGAAAGGACTTATGCATTACTCCCTTCAACGTCAGTTGGAGAAAGTTTAATCGAAACTAATTTAACTATTTTTTAATCAGGTAAGACCCACTGTGTTACTTAATAATATGCCAACCAAAGAGTAACAGTTAGATTAGAGTATGGGGAGACGCAAGAATTTGACATTGGGAAAGGAGTAAGACAGGGCTGTATACTGTCTCCTTACCTATCCAATTTGTACAGCAAGCGTATTTTGTGAGAGGCAGGCCTAGATTCCATTGAAGCACGCGTGAAGATTATAGACGGAAGAATAAACAACGTAAGATTTAAATTTCGATTTAAAGCTTTCGTGACTGCAAGGATTCATCTTCTTTGGTTCTTTCGGTAAAGTCACATAGAATGAGAATAAAATAATAAATTGATAAAATAAAATAACACAATAATATTCTCACGACGTTTTCGGTCACAACACAAGTGGCCTTCATCAGGTGAAGGGACGAGACTGTCTGGAGGACAGCGCTGGAGTGAAAAAGCCACGCTCAGATCACGACCTTTAAGCTGTGTGAGAAGAAACAAAGCGCCTTGACAAAGGAATTAGCATATAAATTAGCATTGAAATGACTGAATGATTAGCTTGTGACTGGTCACAGAAATGGCTATGTTAAAGTTAAAGCATACACATCCGCAAAGGCACCCCTTGACAAAGGAATTAGCATAGAATTTAGCATTGAAATAGCTAAGTTAAAGTATACACATCCGCAGAGACACCCCTTGACAAAGGAATTAGCATAGAATTTAGCATTGAAATAGCTTGTAACTGGTCACAGAAATAGCTATGTTAAAGTCAGAGCATATACATTCCCCGAGGCACCTAGTACAAATCAAACAGGAGAATTTAGCATTGAAATAACTAGGCGAATTTAGCATTGAAATAACTGAGTGATTAGCTTCTGACTGGTCACAGAAATGGCTATGTTGAAGTCAAGGCCTACACATCTGAGCTATGCACAGTAACTGGGTATATAGTGAACCAATAAAAAACTAAAATATAAATTACCTCAATGTTATCAATAAACTCTATATTCTCCAATCAGCTAAGCTACCAACAATAAGTCGTTATATATCACAATGCTATATGGCGAAAAAATGGGTGGATTCTTACCCTCAACTTTAGCAACACGGATAGCTACGGGTCCCGTTCAGTCGGAAGAGTTCATCTATGGTCGGTACAGAGGAGGGGGAGAGAGACAGCTGCGAGGCGCTGTTATACTCCATGTTGTAAACCATACCATTAACCGTGGTGTGAGAGCTATTAAGAGTCAATGCCAGCGAAAGAGCTGCGGTCTGAAGGTCATCGTAAAATACAATTAATTAAGAAAGTAAATGGTTTAAAACATCTTTCCAATGGTTACTAAGCCAGAATCCATCTTCTCGGTTGAAATTGTCTCTGTGCTTGTGTAGTGGGTTCCAGGAGACGGCAGAATAGAAGCAGCACTATTTATTTAAACCTTAACAAGGGTTACACTAGAAGGGGTAGCGGCCCCTCCACCCGTATAACTCAGGAACACACCCCAGGCTCTCTACCCTAAGCTCTAGGCTCCCAGTTCCTCCTGGTAGGGCTCTAAGGGAGGCTATTAGATCCGGCCCTGGTTAGGCACAGATCTCGGCACCCCGCCGACCAGACCGGCCCTTAGAAGGACTCTGACTCTGGGGCTCTGGGGCCGCACCACTGGCTTGCTGTGCCGGCCCTGAAAAGGGCAGCGGTCACAGGAGTTCCAGGGTCTCACCTAGCTGGCCTTCTTTCTTCACTGGTTGCTTGAGCCTCGCGCCCCACACTCTGCCCCGAGCTCCCTGGCTCCCCGCACTTTATACCCACTGGAGCCTTAGCGGACGTTGTAACCACCAAGGTGTGGGTGAACCACACCTTCCCGTGCCATGTGTTTATTCCCCATAGCACCCCTACATCACCCCCTCCCATGTAGCCCGCAGCCGTCCCGGCTGCAACAATACTCGAACAATAAACACAACAAACCCCCACCCGTGCGTGCCTCATAAGAACGAACACCCCAATAAATAACCCAACCCACCTATACAAAATTACATTATATACACATATACATTGTACCCCCCCCCCCCCCCCCCCCCCCATCAACAGCAGCAAGAAAACTTAACAGTGAACAACAAGAGTAAACAAGAACCATTATTACAACAAGCGGCGCGTTTTGGCGCGAGTCCGTTTTGCGGGTCCATTGTAGGGGGAGGGTCCGGTCGGCCCGGCAGTGGGCACCGGCTGTGCAGGTGCACCGTCTTCCGTCACCCCGGAAGGGCAAACTCCGTCCCCACCGGGTGGCGCAGGCGCGCTGGAAGCCGTCATTCTTGAGGCGCCTGAAGGTGGAACAGTTAGCGAAGCAACAAGGGCAAGTGACGAAGACGCCGTCCGGGAGTAAGCGGACACATCACATGCTCGGCCTGTGTAATGTGGTGGAGGGACGCGTGACGCCACAAACGGCTTCAGACGCGAGGGGTGTACGTCCCAGCGGCGTTTCTCCCACTGGATACGAACGCACTGCGGCCGCATAACCTTCACAATAACCACAGGGCCCCTCCAAGGCCGCAACAATTTCGCCGAGGTCGCCAACGGCACCTGAGGGCAGTGCATCCAGGCTTGATCGCCTGGCTTCCACGCATGTGTGCGTGATTGGCGCGATCCCAACC